TCTTTGAGTCATTCAGGAGAAAGGCAAAGGTACTCAGTATGACCTCGGGGTAGGGATGATTTCTTAAATTTGACACACACACACAAAACAAAATAAAAAGGAAATAACTGATAAATATCAAGCATTATCTCGTACAGTTTAAGATATGCATATTTCATGACTCAACAACTTCAACTTTTGGCATCTGGGCCAGAGATAGTCATACTCATATGTACCAAGAGACACATGCAGGGATATTTACTTCAGAACTGTTACATCAGCAAATAAAGGAGAAACAAATTAACCTTCTGCCAGTAAGGAAATGAGTAACTTACAGATAGCTCATTCTTCCAAGGGAATACCATACAGCTGTTAAAAAAAATTCGTTGATTTACATGTATCAATAGAGAAAAATGTAAAAAAACATGGAAAGTATAAAAAAAAAATCAAACTTCAAAAGGACAGAGTACAAAGTGATATATATAGAAATTAAAACACATAAATCAATAGAATGTTTATGGGGACATACATATGGAATAAGGACAAAAATGCCCATTTGATATTTTGGGGAGAATGGAAAAGTGATGAGAATGGCTTTTTGTTATATTTATAATATTATATTTCTTTCATAAAAAAAGAGCCACAATAACTATGGCAAAAATTTAACATGTACTTTTCTTTCAAGAATGGATGCCTAGGAGGGGCACCTGGGTGGCCCAGTCAGTTAAGCATCTGACTCTTGGTTTCAGCTCAGGTCATGATCTCAGGGTCGTGGGATCCAGCACGGAGTTGGGCTCAGTGCTCATCACGGAGTCTACTTGAGAGCTTCTCCCTCTCCCTGCCCCTCCTGCTTGTGCTCTCTCTGTCTCTCTCTAAAATAAATAAATCTTTAAAAAAAAAAATGCATACCCAGGTAACTTTAAGTAGATATTGATAATTACTATTTGTGTTTTTCTGTATATTTCAAATGTTTCATTAGCCATTTGGCCAGCATAAAGAGGAGTACGAAGGCTTTCTTTCTTCTTTCCTGGCCATCCTCATAGCATCCCACGGTGGAGTAGGGGTATGCCAAGGGGCATCAGTGTTCTTCCTCTCACCAAAAGTTTCACTTCCAGAAAAAAAAATGTAACTATCCCTTAATAGCTTATTTTTTTTTCCTTTTAGAACAAAGTGTAGGTGGTAGTGATTTGTGACTGTAGATACTTTCTATTAACTTAACTATTTAAGACAGTTTCCCCTACATTATTAAAATGTCATCACTGTAGATAGCAATAATGATGACAGAGAAAATAATAAAGCCATTTTATATCTAGTTCTTAATGGATATATAAAGCACTTTCATAAAACTGTTCTCATACCCTTCAATACATACATGATTTAGGTGGGTAGATTTGGTTTCCAAGTTTTCGATGAGATAAAAGCTCTCATACAGAGTTTCTGCTTGCCTAGACCAGAAGGAATATGCAAGATACTATGGTCCAATCCCTTCAAGTTTTAACTCTAAAGTTGGAATACTACTTATTCTGCCAAACCTCCACCATCATAGAAGGGAGCACACAAGATAATGTGCACGAAAGCCCTGGGGGAATGGAAAACCCTCTACAAATGTATGGATTTGTTGTAATTTTAATTAGTGTCTTTAGTGCTTCTTTTAATAAAGCCCTTTCCTATAACATATAGACTTAATATTAGGCAGACTCAGAATTCTCATGATATAATTTAGGTGAACAATTTGTAAAGAGAAGAAAAATGTAAATTTATATGTATAGCATGACCTTTAATATTAAAAAAAATATGTAAAGACAAAATTCTGAGAAGAACTATAGTAAAATACCACCACTTATCTTTGGATAATTTTTTAAAATATATTTTTCTTTCTTTCTTTTTTTAAAAAATTATTTATTTATTTTTAAAGATTTTATTTATTTATTTGACACAGAGAGAAAGAGAGAGAACACAAGTAGGGGGAGCAGCAAAGGGAGAGGGAGAAGCAGGCTCCCGGCCAAGCAGGAAGCCCGATGCGGGGCTCGATCCCAGGACCCTGAGATCATGACCCGAGCCGAAGGCAGACGCCCAACGACTGAGCCACCCAGGCGCCCCATCTTTTTCTTTTTTTAAGATTTTATTTATTTATTTGAGAGAGAGTGTGAGCAAGCACGAGCTAGAGCGGGGGCAGAGGGAGAAGCAGACTCACTACAGAGCAGGGGCCCTGACCCGAGGCTCAATCCCAGGACCCTGGGATCATGACTTGAGTGGAAAGAAGCCACTTAACTGACTGAGCGACCCAGGCACCCCTAAAATATATTTTTTATTTTCTAGCTTTATATGGTGATAATTCATTACTTGTTTTTGTCAAGATCTAGCTATTATTTGGAACATTTGTATTTTATAAGATTTCACAAACACTGAGATGACTAATCTCAAATAGTCCTGTGTAGTTCGTTAGGGAGCAGTTTTTGTTTTTTATTTATTTTTTTAAAAGATTTTATTTATTTATTTATTTGACACAGAGAGAGAGGGGGAGGGAGAGAGAGAGTGAGAGAGCACAGCAGGGGGAGCAGCAGAGGGAGAGGGAGAATCAGGTTCCCCGCTGAGCAGAGAGCCCGAAGCAGTTTTTAAATGAGTTAATTTATAGGGGAGAGATAGATATGGGGCCAAAGAAAGCTAACTCTTGCACTGACATTTTATTTATTTATTTAATTTTAATTCTAGTAGAGTTAACATACAGTGTTATATCAGTTTCAGGTGTGTAATACAGTGATTCAATTCTCTACATTACTCATCAAGTGCTCCTCAAGGTAAGTATACTTTTAATCCCCTTTACCTATTTCACTCATCCCCCCATTTTAATATCAAAGATTTCTTTTTCACTTAAGAAGGTGTTAAGATTTGGGATTTCCCCAAATCAAAACCTCAATGAGATATCACCCCACACCAGTCAAAATGGCTAAAATTAACAAGTCAGGAAACAACAGATGTTCGCGGGGATGCGGAGAAAGGGGAACCCTCCTACACTGTTGGTGGGAATGCAAGCTGGTGCAGCCACTCTGGAAAACTGTATGGAGGTTCCTCAGAAAGTTGAAAATAGAGCTACCATATGATCCAGCAATTGCACTACTGGGTATTTATCCCAAAGATACAAAAGTAGGGATCCGAAAGGGTACGTGCACCCTGATGTTTATAGCAGCAATGTCCACAATAGCCAAACTGTGGAAAGAGCCAAGATGTCCATCGACAGATGAATGGATAAGGAAGAGGTGGTACATATATACAATGGAATATTATGCAGCCATCAAAAGGAATGACATCTTGCCATTTGCAACGACATGGATAGAACTGGAGGGTATTATGCTGAGTGAAATAAGTCAAACAGAGAAAGACATGTATCATATGACCTCACTGATATGAGGAATTCTTAATCTCAGGAAACAAACTGAGTGTTGCTGGAGTGGGGGGTGGGGTGGGAGGGATGGGGTGACGGGGTGATAGACACTGGGGAGGGTATGTGCTATGGTGAGCGCCGTGAATTGTGCAAGACTGTTGAATCACAGATCTGTACCTCTGAAACATATAATACAATATATGTTAAAAAAAAAAAAAGAAGAAGAAGAAGATAGCAGAGGGGAAGAATGAAGGGGGGATATCAGAGGGGGAGATGAACCATGAGAGAAAAACAAACTGAGGGTTCTAGAGGGGAGGGGGGTGGGGGGATGGGTTAGCCTGGTGATGGATATTAAAGAGGGCACGTTCTGCATGGAGCACTGGGTGTTATACACAAACAATGAATCATGGAACACTACACCAAAAACTAATGATGTAATGTATGTGATTAACATAACAATACAAAATTTAAACAAAAAGATTTGGGATTTCCATCAGCTATTCATCTAAGTGTTTGACTCTCAGGAACTTTTTGCAAAAAAAAAAAATATTGTCACCCCCTGCTGGCAGTCCTGTACTACCAGGACTGTCCTCTCTCCAGGTGAAATGAACTTCAACTTCTATGATAGAATAGAAACTGCCATCTCATTTGTGTTTCAGTCATAATAACGGCAAAGTTGGTTGAATTAATTTTTTCCCCCTGGCTAGGCCAGGCTTTATACTAGGCATTTTATTTTTCACAGTATCCGTAAGTATGAACCTTTAATGAAACTGTTTTTATGTAGGACACTCGAAGCACAGAGAGGTGATACAATTTTCCCAAAGCCACACAGTGAAGGACAGAGCTGAACTACAAATCCAGAAAGTGGCAACTCTCTGCTGGTGCTGCTTCCAACTGTGTGAAAAATACCTCTGGTCAATCTGGAGCTTCATGAAAGCACTATTGTTCATGGTGAAAATATTTATTAAAGGAGCATGGGGGGTGGTGGGGAAGCAATGAAATAAATTCAAGTCAGAAGTCCTGGGATTCACTTACCCCTCACTTCCTTATCACCTCCCTGAGATGCTAAGCAGACACCACCCCAGGGGGAGCCTCCCCTTTCTCTGTACCTCACAGGGCTTTTGTGAGGAGCCAATGAGACAGTGAGTGTGAAAGCCCTTTGTAATCTGCTTCCTTGTTTTTCAAATTTTACCTCTGAATGAACTGAGATCATTAAAAATAGAAAGACCTGAGCTTTATGATCTTTTTTCCCCTGCAGACATGTCACCTTTAGGTTGTGACTCAAAGTCTTGCCTTCAGGTTTGCCGAAGATAAATACACAAATGCCTATTTAACCGACCGAGCCACCCAGGCGCCCCCACAAATGGCTATTTAAATGTGCTTTTTGCATCTTTCAGTGAAGTAGAAAGCTATTTTCCACTGTATTGCCCAACGTCCATTATTCGAGGCTTAATTTGAGAAGTTACTCTAATTCCAGAAAAACGCTGTTGCCACAGGAGAAAACAAGAGCATAAAGCTCTCTCTGGCCTTGGCGGCTAGGAAACGTGATTTAGTGTTCGATGGAGCCCATCTCCACGGTGGGGGCCGTGTCCACTCCCTCGAGGCTCCCAAAGCTTCTTTCCCTCACACGGTTACTCACCCTTCTTTGCAGGTGTAAGTGACAGTGTTCCCAAAAGTGAAGTTCCTCCCGATGATGACAGCATCTTTGATGGCCGGTGGCTCCTCACAGACCACAAGATGGCAGGTAGGTGGCGCTCTGTCCCAGCTGCCTGAGGCCGAGCATCCAAGGACAGAAGGGCCCTGTAAGCTGGGAAAGAATGGCCATTATTCACTGCTCTGGAGACGATTGTGAGCCGGCTCCAGAGCGTTTCTGTCAGCGAATGGGCTAAAACAACATCACAACAGCTGCAAAATAAAATGTGCTCCCTGGTGCTGGAGTAGGGCACTCATCACCTGGATGAGAAGGGGTTAATAGTCTGGTTGGGATCCAGCGAAAATGGAGACAGACACCCAGGAAGTCATGGTAACTGAGGTCCAAGGGCACAGTCCTTGTCCCGAGCCCGGGCAGGTGCACTGCGTTGCTCGTGACTCTGACCTCTGGTCTTCCTTTGATTTCGCAAACCTCGCATCCCAATGGCGTGGCTTAGCCACCTTTGTTTGCCTACCTGAATCTGCCTGTCTGTATCACTCAACTCTCTAGTCACTGGATCTGTTTCACTTCAGATCCTGCTGACCAAGTTTCTGACTGCAGTCTCTCCCTTCTGTCCCTCTGTTGGAACACACACGCATACACCCCCACGCTCAGCACTGATCAGATCAACCTCTTACAGTATTAAGAACCTGGGCCCTCACCCTGACATGCTTTTGTAACATCCCATACAATTTTCAGTGTAAGCGTGGTAAGTTATGTACCAAAAAAAAAAAAAAAAAAAAAAATCCAGATATTGTGTTAAGCTTCCCAAACACTTTTTGCTTTCATGTTTAATGACTGTTTACAGTGACTCAACTAGAGCCCTCAGAGTCAAAGTTAGGTGGAATATTTCCCTAGGCATTCCCAGCACTATAAGCTAGTCTTCATGAAGCAGCAAATTTGAGAGTATCTTTTACATTTAGAAACTTGTATCTAAAGTCATATAGTTATATACAAATGAAACCTACTGAGTAAATAATGAGTAACAGGGTATTTTAGGAAGCTTGGCTGGTGTCTATGGACTTTACCTGTATCCACTCTCACATGAATATGATGCTGTAGAAAGGTAGGTAAGCCCACTCAAAATATATTTCCCATTATTTATGCTTTCAGGACTAGAACACTTGACCAGTTCACACATAGGAAGAGAATGACTCCAAGAACCGCTAGCAAGACAGGATGATTCTTTATCACCATTCAGTGTATATCCTTTATTACACCTAAAGAGGATAAAGGGAGATTACTGAATATAATTTCCTTTATTATTTGCATAATTTTATCAGTGCCAAAACCTTTAAAAATATTGAGAATTTACACTTTACAATTTATTGGAAGAGTTCTTTTTTTTTTTCCTACTGAAATAATGCTTTGAAATGATTGTTTTCCAAGGCTGAACACTGTACATCTCCCCCATAGGGACCTTGCTGAGTGGTAAGTAGAAAAATTAAGAGTTTGGCTTGCCCCCAGTTTATGTCATGGATTAGTAGCTGCAAACAGAAAATTCCTAGTTTGAGAACGGTCTGGTTTAGTATGAGTGCCTGAGCCAAACCTCCAGCTTATAACCAAGAACATTCCTTAGCTTGCAGGGCCTTCCTCCATGGCACCCATTCTCAGAGCACCTCAACGATGCTGGTGACAATAAGTTACTTGTCAAGGGATTTAAGGATTCTAGACAGGACTGCCACCATTAGGTTATTGAACTTGGTTCCTTCGTACTACACATAATTCAATTAATTTCGTATTAATTTAAAAAAATCCTCTGGGATTCTTCTTCTCCCTTTCTTTCAGTTTTAGATCACAGCCAGCACATCATCAACAACTTCTACAATGTAGTTTTAATCTTACACACTTACCTATATGTTATTTTACTGCCATAGGTAAATGCTGATCCATCAATGCCGCCATTTTCTGGGATAGCAGGTGCACCACAGTAAACAGCTAGAAGGTGGAAAAAACAAAGGAAGTATTGCTTTTCTGGCCAGCATGTAAAAAAATCTCTAAAAGCTCAAGGGCAGCTCTAAGTTATCTTGTCATGTTTAAAGATGAGCCCAATAGTTGGGTTTTATTTTATTTTATTTTTTTTTAAGATTTTATTTATTTATTTGCGAGAGAGAAAGAGAGACAGAGAGCACGAGAGGGAGGAGGGTCAGAAGGAGAAGCAGACTCCCCGCCGAGCAGGGAGCCCGATGCGGGACTCGATCCCGGGACTCCAGGATCATGACCTGGGCCGAAGACAGTCGCTTAACCGACTGAGCCACCCAGGCGCCCCAATAGTTGGGTTTTAAATACAAAGAATATTGATACAACCTAACACATGACACATCTATCCCTTAAATTTCTAGTATTGCCAAACACCATGAATCTGGGGGAATTTACGAAACATGCCTTCGCAATATGGTAACAGATGACTCCATTCTCCAGACTCCAAACACGTGATTGTGGTTACTCCCAACAGCTGGTATCCTTCCTCACACGAGAAAGTGACTTGGGCGCCCAGTGTATAAACCTCACCAGAAGAGTGGCCATTTTCTGGATTTCCTGGAGCCTTACATTTTATGGGTTCTTGAAAAAGAGAAAAAGTTTTTGTGGGACAATGAGTGGTGCTTGCACCACCATGCAGGGTCTCACAGCAGAAGAATTTCACTACAGTTAAAGTACCAGTTAAATCTTGGGGGGAAAATGCTCTTGAAGGGAGACATGGGAAGGCCTGGGATACACTGGACATTGACCAGAACACACATTTAACAGGCATTTAAACTACAGTATTTTGAAACATAGTGACTAACAAAAATATACAAAATTTACCTGGCTGAAAGGGAGCTGTTTACTGGGAAGTAGTGGTGGTACCGGGGCATTTATTAGGAGAACTTTAGCCGCTCCTACCTCCCCCAACTTCATGCCTACTTTTTAAAAGCAATTGGCCTTCTATCAAATTGATGTAAAGGCTGTACCTTAGGCGGATTTGAGAAAAATTCCCAGCCTCCCTTTCCAAACAGACTATGGATCAGAAATCCCTCCTATGTGCAAATTTGGGGGTGGTCACCACTTCTAGGAAGAGAAGTAAGTTAAAGGGATATTTAGGACTAGACTTGGATATGAGTAAATGTAATACTTGCATCATCAAAAAGGGAAGATATATTGATTCAATCTTTCTGAAGGTCATTCTGGCCACATAAATCAAGGACTTTATTTGTATTTTTAAAATTATTTATTTATTTTTTTTTGAGGGGGTGGGGAGGGGCAGAGGGAGAGAGAGAATCTTAAGCAGGTTCCACACCCAGCGCGGAGCCTGATGCTGGGCTCAGTCTCACGACCCTGAGATCATGACCTGAGCCAAAATCAAGAGCCAGACGCTTAACGTACTGAGCCACCCAGGCACCCCAGAAGTCAAGGACTTTATTTTAAAAAAGAAAAAAGATTTATTCATTTATTTTAGAGAGAGAGAGCGCACACGAGTTGGGGGAGGTGCAGAAGGAGATAGAGAGAGAGAGAGAATCTCCAGCACACTCCGTGCTGAGTGTGGAGTCTGATGCGGGGCTTGGTACTGCAACCCTAAGATCATGACTTGAGCTGAAATCAAGAGTTGGATGCTTAATTGACTGTGTCACCCAGGTGCCCCATAAGTCAAGGACTTTAAATGAACCCTCTCAAAAAGTAAATGCCATCGTAAGACTTGATTTTGAGAATTCCTCTTAACTTTCTATTTTCTGGGAGTTGGGCCTGTATTATCAAAGTTATCACAAAATCTAGAGATGTGATAAGGGAAGAGGTCAGGTTTTTTTCAATAACATAATTCTGTGTGGCTTAGGCAGAGGAAACATACTGATGGTGAAGTATCTATCTTCTTTGCTCTGAGTGAGGCCATAGAGGCCAGCGATTATATTTCTAAATCCCCTCTGTTATTCTTGTACTCCAACATTCTGGTGATACAGCTGGCTCTCAGTTTTATTTTTCAGAGATTGGGAAGTTGGGAGAGGCACAATGCTAATTTAAAGCTCCTTTAGTTACATGTCTTTTTAAAAGATGGTTTTTATCTTTTCCACCTGTCCTTTGAACTTGAAAATATTGTTGTATTTTTAAATAACATACATTTGAAATATATAAATAAAAGAATTAATAAACTTCCCAATTACACATGTACTAGTTACCTGCACAGTTTTTACCATCTCCTGTGTGGGGTGGGATACATGAGCAAATGTAGGATCCATTTGTATTCAGGCAGGAGGCATACTCACTACAATCTGACCCAACTGCGCATTCATCAACGTCTAAAATGAAGATAGCTTACAGGTAGTGAAGTTGATTGATTTTTCTTATGTATCAAATACTTGTTTTTACTTTTAAATCATTACATATCACTTAATGTATAACACCATAGATATTTCGATATAGTGAAAATATACTGTAGTAAATATAGTAGTCATGATCACATTGCAGATACACAATAAAAGCTATTATTCCCCCACTTGATAGGTGGTAAGTAGAAGAACAGAGATAGATGAAAATAGTCTTAATACTGAGCCTGGTAACAATTCCAAATATTTCTGGCACCTCTAGGGACAGCTGCTTTGTCACTGTGGCTTGCCCAGAGCTTACTGGGATGAGATGAAGTTAACAAAGGAATGTCACAAGAAAGCCTCAGGAATTTGGGAAGATTGTCTCCCAGGGAGCTAGCATGAACCCAGGCGGTGCTGCCAAGATTGATCTCACCAAGGCATGATGGTGCGATGCCATTCCAGCTCCCATTATCTGTACAGAACATCCTTGAATCGCCCAACAGGTAGTAGCCATTGTTGCACTGATAGGTCACCGTGCTGCCAGCATGGAAGTCCTCAGCTGAATAAAAGCCATTCTCCAGAGGGGGTGGCACCCCACAGCTAATGCCTGTAATGTGGCCAGGAAGAGCACAACCACATGAGGAGCGAAACGCTCAAAGCACATTTTGTTTATATTAAGCTAGCGGTTAAGCGGGACTTTCCCATTGCGCATAAACACAGATCCAGAGCGCTCGAGGGGTGGCAGCCGGCTGCAGCCAGACCTGTGCCCTCGGCATCCAGCAGATGGTCTGGCTCAGAGCAGGCATGCAAGTCATTAATTAAAAAAAAATATTTATGAAGGTCCTGCTAGACACTGCCGTAGGTGCTGAAGTTACAGTAATGAACCAAAGAGAGAGACTCCTGCCTTGTGGAGCCTACTATGTAGTGGGAGTAGAGAAACAAGCCACAGAGAAATACATATGTCGGTGAGAATGGATGCCACGGAGAAACTTTGCTGATCGCCCTAACTAATAAAGCAGTCTGCTTCCACCCAGCCCCTCACTTTGGATTTCCTTACTTTGCTTTATTTTTCTCCAAAGCTCTTACTTCTGGCCCTTGTTCTTATTTACCATAAATAAACAATATTTACTTGTCATTTCCTGTCTCTCCTATTCTGGTGTAAACTCCATAAAAGAGACTTTCTTCCAACTGTTGCATCACTAGAACATAGATTGCTGTCTAGCACATAGTAGGCGGTTTAAAATCGCTGAATAAATAAATGACTTGATGCATCCAACTCAAGAGATCTTTTCCTGTTTCCTACCCAGCCATAACCCATCTCTCTTGGGGCTCCAGCTCCCAGCTCTGTCTTCCCCTCCCATCCGGTTCCCTGTTGCACCTGGGGTGCAACCACAGGGCTAGTCTCGTCATCACCCATCCCCCGCATAGAGAGGGAACTATTCAGTGAATAGTTACTGTGTTTACTATTGTGGTGTGTTTAGCTTTTATCTAGCATTCCTGAAAAATGTCCCCATGCTCCAACATCTGTCAGGAGCTACTGAAATGCCTTCCACAGTGGCAGCTCACGTTCGCAGTGGGGGAGTGGTTGTGTCCATTGTCCTTGATTCAGACAGTACTGCACGGGGTTCCCAACCATCTGGAAGCCTGGATCACAGGACACACTGATTTTGGAGCCTGGCTTTAAGTCGGCCGACGCAGTTCGCAGATGAGGTACCGATCCTTCTAAAGGTGGGCAATCTGCGGGCAAAGAACACAGGCACAGAGCTTGTCAGCACCCTCATGGCGACATCGCCAGGTCAAGAGTCTCAAGTCACATGTTGCGCCGGCATCTGAGGGCCTTTCTACTGCTACCAAAACAAGGTGACATGTGACCAGAGGCCTGGCAAGCAAAATGACTAGAAAAAGACTGTTTGAGGTCACCACTTCTCCTCTTGCTGTAGAAGTCAGCTGAGTATTTTAAGGAAAAAGGGGTATTTTAGAAATATTAATGAAATGTACTTAGAAGTTATCAAAACCCTTGAATTCTAGGACATCTTTAGAAACTTCTTCAAATACATTGAATTTTATGATCAGAGTTTGATTATTTGGTGTGCAGACTGTCATGTCCATTGCTTTTCTCCCTGTGCTAATGGCTGCTAGGAAGTACCCTGTTGTGAGTACCCCATCTCACATAGGAGGATAGGGCTTTGGTGGCATTTGAAAAATTAACCATATCCTTCCTCTCATCCTATTTTCCTAATCTTGTTTTACCACTGTCTAAGTTTTCTCCACAAGGAATTTTGTACTCTCCAATACAGCATGTATTTAAGTATTAAAAAAATAAATCCTTTGGATAAAGGTAGAGTAAAGGTGAATTGCTAGCTAAACAATAGACAGACAGGCACACACTACTTGACCAACAGTGAATTCTGAACAGTCTCCTTTTGCAGGAAAATCTCGGAGTAGTCAAGAGATGGCAGTTTACAGAAGAAGAACATTCTAACCAGAACAGAATATGCTCTTGTAATTGATCTTCACTTTTCCCACAATTCCAGACAGGAAATCAGGCCAGGCTAACACATTTCCTTTTTTGAGTTCCTCTGGGCATGAGGTAGCCAGTGATTTCACCTGGAAGTTTAAACACACGTCTTTAGATAAACCTTATTTGATTCAATATGACAGAGTTATTATACCCTCATTGAGTCCTCTTGAAAACATTCACAGATCTGAGGGGGAAGGTGGTGAAAGGAAGGAGGCTTTTGTACAGTATGATTTCAGGGGTAACAGAGAAGTCTCTTCCCTCCCTCTCTCTCCTCCATCCCCATCCTCCCCTCTCCCAAATATGCCAGTTGCCAGATAGTCTGAAATTCTGACTGAGAAAAAAGCTCTGCAGTTTATTAAGGTGTTATAGAGGTTCCCCACATCTCATTCTCCTGTGTGCTGCCTCTGATCTAGAGGTGGGTAAACTGAGGCCTGGGCAAGTTCTGCCACTATAATAATAAGGGTAGACTTCTAGAAGCCCTCGCTTTGGGCAAACAAGACCATGATGATACCTGCCGTGCTGTGTGTGATCATGCCGAAACTCTACTATGCTATCTGTTCATCCTTCACAGATAAGAAAACCGAAGCTTCGGGAGATGGAGTAACATGTTCAAAATCAGCACTACAAGGCTGTGGTCCAAACAGGGATTTGAACCCAGGCTGTCAGACTCCAGACTGGCTTTAACCACTGGCTCCTGTTACTCTCTAAGCATCGCCTTATGGCCAGCCCTCAATTTCTGCATCTTTAGTCAGAGGGATGTGAACCAGTATTCTCTCTGATTCTCTCCAGCTTGGAAATTACAAGGTCTCCTAAAATAATCGTGTCTAATGAAATTTAAAAACATCACCAAGAAACTGAAAAGGGGATTAATTGAAAGTGACTGCAGATAACCTCTGCTTAGCTTCGTCCACGACCATAGCATCAAATGAAATCGGTGGTCAAGTCTGAAAACCCAGAGGCTGCAGTAAGATATGGGATCATTAGTCTGTTCACATTTTCACTAGGTTTGTACCTTTGTATCTCATTACTGTCATACACTGAAAATGGAATTGACCTGCTGTGGAGACAGGACATAGTCCCAGAGGTTCAGCTGGCTTATGGAACCCACAAAAGACTCAGCTGGGTTGAATCCCTCTCCTTTTTGGTCTTGTTCTTGCCCAACAACTAAGGCACCACCACCTAAAGAGAGGAGAGAAATAAGGAGGAAAATTGACTTCATGTCTGTTATTCCAAACATGCTAACTTAATGAAAGCACTGACAATATAAAGGTATCAGGGAAAATTGTTGAAAAACCAAATTACCTACATTTACTGTATGTTTTACCTACAAGGACAAATTCAATATTTTTTCTAGAGCAACTTAAAAAATAGTCAGAGAGGGTTTAGAATATTATACCAGATTTACAAACATTTAACTATAAAAACTACACATATATATATGTGCATGTGTATTTTATGTCAACAAAACAGGTAAGTTTTATTTTGCCTCCTTTATTCCAGGAAGTTACCCTCCATGACAGACTACCAGTAGCTGCTCTTCATTTTCTTCTTCGTAACCCTGAAATGCTTAAATTTCTATCACCAATTCCAAGGTGACCTCTAAATTTGCCAGTGGCTACCTCACTGCCAAATTCAACGGAAACTCACATTCACCTCTGGTGATTTCTCTTTCTTGTTGGTTCCTACTGGGCTATTTCATTCTATTAAACTGTCCTTCCTGGATGTACTGGATGGTCTGTGTTTGCCCCTCCAGAGACACCTGCCACCCTTCTCAACTCTGCTTTGCGCCCTCAAAGGCTGACACCACCTGGTTGCCTTGTTCCTCTGGCTTCTGTTTATACCTGGCTAATGGAAGGATCAACCCAAGATAAGGAAGTGGGATGAAAGAGAAGCTTAATTTCCTGGATACCTTCCTCCCAGCAAGGTTTAGGTTTGCCTACATTCTGGCAACAACTCCCACTCCTTGTCATTTTGGGCCCATCTCTTGTGCCATTCTATTGTTGCTAGTCATGAGTGTGTTTTACTTTCATATTTTGGTTCTCTTAATCTTGCCCACACCTTTGCAAATCGTCCCTTCCTTAAACTCTCTTTAGTTCTCCTCCTTGGGGATACCACCTGTTCCCTGCCAGGGGCTGGGCTGATTCCACTTTCTTTTCATGAAGTCATCCTTTCCTGGTTCTTCTTGAACCTTTGTGCTCATTTTGCCTCTCTTCTCTGCCTACCTCTTAAGATGCTGAGGCACCTAGGCTTCCACCCCTGGCCTCCTCTCTTCTTCCTTCAACAATCTCCCCATCTGATCTCACTCACCTGCCAATTGATATATGTAGAACCCCTTTTCATGATTTCCCAAAACTATGTCCTTTTCTTATTAATCATTAAAAATTAATACACGTACGGGAGAAAATTTGAAAAAATAAAGCATAAGGAATTCCTCTTATCCAGAAAAAAAAATCATTTAACAGTTTTGTGTATTTCCTCCGAGGTTTTATTTTTATTATTTTTTTAGTATATGCGTATGTGTGTGTGAGAGAGATTTTAAAACACACAACTCAGGATCATACTATATATGATGTTTGAATCTGGCTTTTTCTTCTTGGACATGCTCTCATTTCATGAGTTTTAATAGCTATTTTATATATGAATGCACAATAATCCATACTTTGCTTAATTAGTTAATTAAACTACCATTTCTTATTGGATATTGGAGTTGTTTCCAAGTTTGGTACTGAAGTATCACTGAGATAAATATATTGATACATGAGTATTTATTCAGATCACTGATTATTTCCTTTAGTCTGATTCCTGGTAGTTGAATTGTTGGTTGCATACCAAGGGTTTCTCTAAGGTTCTTCTTTTTTTTTTTTAAAGATTTTATTTATTTATTTGAGAGAGAGAATGAGATAGAGAGAGAGAGCATGAGACAGGGGAGAGTCAGAGGGAGAAGCAGACTCCCCGCTGAGCAGGGAGCCTGTTGCGGGACTCGATCCCCAGACTCCAGGATCATGACCTGAGCCGAAGGCAGTCGCTTAACCAACTGAGCCACCCAGGCGCCCTTCTCTAAGGTTCTTGATGAAAGTTCCTAAATTGCTTCCCAGAAAGGTTGCATCAGTTTTCATACCAGCACTCTAAAGTGTCTGCTGTGCTGAATCCTTGCCAATCACATCCTACCACTAAAAACAACTCTGTCAATTTGATATAAAGTGGTATCAACCTATGTTTTTAGTTGCATGTAGTCCTGTGATTAGAATTCAAACCCAATATATCTAAAATCAAATAGAAATTCTTCCTTCACTCCTAATCCCTGCTCTGATAATTGTCCTTGTTCCTAGAATTCCTCTCTCAGATAACAGACTCTTCAATGGACCTACTCACCCAAACTGAAGCCAGCCATTCACTAAGCTCTGTCAACTGGAGCTCCGCAATATTTATGGACTCCAATTCATTCTTACTGCTGTGGTCAGACAACCATCTCCTTGGGTGGCTACTATTACAGTCTCTGTGCTTTATTTTCCTATCCCTGTAACCTATTTTCACTCTTCTATCAGGTTTTTCTTTTTTAATATAGAGAAATGCTTTTTTTTTTAACCATAAAGGAAATATATGTTCATTATGAAATATGGGAAAAGAATAAAGAAGAAAATAAAAGCCACTTGCAGTCCCACTATCCAGAGAAGAGATAGTTGAAAACAAGAATACTTAAACACCAAAAGGAACCACCGCCCCACTTCACCTGATAATGTCACTTCCTGTTGAAACACTTTTAATGTTTCCTTATTTACTACAGGGAACCTCTAACTTTCCTCTTCATAAAAGACAGTGTTAGCAGTGCTCCAGCTTATACACTGGATATACTTGTGTCCTATGTAAACAATCACAAAACAAAACAAGCAACCAAAACATACCAGTAATTCCTCTCCTCCTTGGAAGACAATTTAGTGACCTTCCATGGTTAACTCAGCCTGCATCTTGCTAGTCTTACTATAAGTCCCCAAATGCATTTCTTACACAGAGTGTCACACAGTTCACCTAGGAAAAGCTTGTAATAATTCACAGTCTGGGTAATCAGGGAGTAGAAAATGGGAGAGATAACTGTTGACCTTTGTGTAGAACCAAGGACAAAAAAGCTAGCAAACTTGACGTTCATCTAAGCGCCACCACGTCTGGCATCTAAGGGAATGATATTCCTTTAGCTAAGACATACCAGGTATGGGTGAACCAACAGAGAGGCCCACACCACCGTCAGATAGTTTCCCATCAATATAGACCTTCCAGGCTCCATCAGAACTCCTCCAAGTGATTGCAATGTGATGCCAACGGTCATCATTCACGGAGGGACAGTCTGTTATCTTTTCCTTGCCATTCACATAAAGAACCCAACTGTGAAAACATTCCAGGTAACAGAGTCATCAGTCATACATCGTAATCTCATCTATGGGGCACGTTACTATTTTTCTTCTTTTCCTTCTTTTTCTTTTCTTTCTTTCTTTCTTTTTTTTTTTTTTTTTGTATGTAAAGCACTTCGAGGACAGCCATTACTTCTTTTTCTCCATTGGTCACATTTCATAGAGGGAGAGTTGATTTATAAATGACACTTTATTGTAGTTCACTGAAAATTAGTTTATATTTCTTAGACACGAAGGGATAGGAAATAGTCTTAGGATAACGAGAGAAGTTGATCCAAGCTGAGATAATTTACCAACTGTCTATTCCGGAGGGAGTGAATCAAGAATGGAAGGAATGAGAGTTGTACAAACATCAGACTGGTTTCCTTCTTTTGGAATGGATGTTTTCCTAAGACCAGAAACTAACTTCAGAGGTCTCACAGAAAGTGAGTTCTCTCTCTGGGTTGCCAAAGCAGTCATATGGCAGACAAAGTATGTCGATCCAAAGGCAAGCCTAATTGGAACTAAACAAAGATGACCAACAACAAGAGGTTTTGAACAACCATGTCACTTTGGGGAATATCAAAGATATTAAGCAGTTTAAAGTGAAATATCTTCAAAAGCAATTGGAGTAAAAGAAAAAAATTAGGGAAAATTGATAAGGAAGAATTCATTGAATACCTCTCTCCATATCTTCTTAGTCCTTATTCATAGATATTTATGGAAAAAAATGGTATTTTTATAATACTAATTGCTTCCCCTTTGTGTTTTCCCATTTTCCTTCCCTATTCAAGTGGATAACAGGTTCTCTCTTTATATATATTTTGCCTCAGGGGAGGTTTGTGTAAATTTCTTGGATTTTGTTTTTGAAAGTTTCCACTAAGAAGAATAGGGTTTGAGGTTGGGGAGAGTTCTACCAGAATAGTGACAGTCCCATGGACTGAGGAGAGGCAAGAGGGCTCAGTGGAGCCTGCACCCTGCTCAGTAGCAATGGGACAGAAATTTGGGTAGATCTTAGATGAAAAGGCCACTACAGAATCTGTCTAGATTGAAGGTTGTGATTCCACATGGCAAAGAGCTGTGATTCTGAAGGACCTGCAGGGGCTGAGGCAGTTCATAGCCCAGTGATAAGCACTGTGGACAGAGTGATGGAAGTCCTAGCCAAGTCTGTGGCTCTTTAGCAAGACTCTGTGGGTTTCTGACAATCTGTGAGAATCTAAGATAGGAAAAGCACTTAGTAGGGAAAGAAGGAGGGAAACAACCAAGGTTGGTCTTTCTGACAGCCCAGAGAGATGCGGCCCTGCAGTTGAATTAATTGATCCAAAGAGAAATAAACATCATCTTATACACCTGAGTCTGTAGATGGATTCCTATTTAATGTATGTGTCTCCCATGGGTCAATAATGTCACTGAAATCCTTGAACCCCTGCAGGCTTTGATATATAAAAGAAAGAGCATCAGTCTTAAGAGTCAGTCTGAGACTTAGCTCTATCACTTCCAGGGTGTGAGATTTGGGGCAAATCATCTAGTCTCTCTGAAACTTTGTTTTACGACCTAGAAAACCAGTTCCTCAGGCCACTGAGAAGATCAGATGAAGTAACACTTAGCAAAGAGCAAAACATAATCCGTGCATAAGGCGCTATCATTGAAACTTTGCTCTCTTACAGAACGTGTCCAGATGCTCTATTTGACCATTGTCATTGCTATCCTGCTGGAGCACCTGACTCCCTTGCTCCTCTATCCCCCACCAGTGTCAGTTCTAACTTGGTCCCAGGATAAGATCTAGAGTATGGCTTTCTTGACATTTCTGCTTACCCATTATAATCGGTCAGGAGGAAGGTATTGTCACTGCCATTCTCAAGTGCATAGGAGATTGGTGTTCCATAATTATTGGTGTCATTGGATTTCATCCAGAATGTGCAGCTTACAGCCCAGAGAGATGGAAGCACACCATCTAGCATGACGTAACCATAGATACCCGAAACTTCAAAATCCAGGTTAAAACCTGAAGACTGGTCTGCAACAAATAAGAAAGGTGTGTCGACCGCGGCACTTGGGAGGCATTTTTCAATTGTCTAAGGTAAGCAGCGGATTTGCAGTACTATTGTCAAGGAAGCCCATTTCAGTCAATATGATGATGTGAGAAGCAGTTTCCACATTAAATATATATTATTTACAAAATATATAATGCATTCTTTTAAGTAAAAGAATCAGTAACTAAGATAGGGAAAGCACTTAGTAGTGTAACGAAGCAGAGAAACAGGGACTAGCTGGAAGGAGAGATAGAATTGGGAAGTTAATAAAGACAGGGGAGGGCGCCTGGGTGGCTCAGTCGGTTAAGCGACTGCCTTCAGCTCAGGTCATGATCCTGGAGTCCCGGGATTGAGCCCCGCGTCGGGCTCCCTGCTCGGCGGGGACTCTGCTTCTCCCTCTGACCCTCCCCCCTCTCATGTGCTCTCTCTCTCAAATAAATAAATAAAATCTTTGAAAAAAAATAATAAAAAAAAATAATAAAGACAGGGGACAGTAACGCATGTCTGTATGGTGATGGGATGACTCCGTAAAGCAGGGGAATTGAGGCTACAAGAGAAAAGGGGGGCAACTGCAAGGGCCACATTCCACCTCTACTCAGGGCCCTCATTCTTCCCTATTTCATGAGCAATTCAGCTCTGCCCCAATCCTGCATACCCCACTTAAGAAAACAAAAGTCCCACAGCTAAAAGACTCCAGCACCCTGAGAAAGCAGCTTAGCTGAGTCTCAGACATGTCTGTGGACTCTGAACTCCTAAATCAAGTGTCCTTTCTAAACATGTAGAAGGTGAAGAGTTCTACTAAATTCAATTTTCTCTGTTTCCCCTCTGAGCTTCATTTTCCTCACCTTTGCTATTGGGGATAATAGTACCTAGTTTGCTGGATGGCTGTCAAAATTAAATAAGTATAAAATGCTTAGCATCATTTTTGGTATGTAGACAGTGCTCGGAACAGGTAAAAATTGACATTGTTATGATCTCATTATTTTTAGTATTGTTATTAATAACACTGAGCTCATATATACCTGTTTCACACCTGCTGCCTGAAAATCCCGGCTGACATTTACAACTGTATGAGTTTAATTCATCCACGCAGGTGGCCTGATTTCTACATGGGTTAGACTGACATTCATTGATATCTAATTCACAGTGTGGCCCCGTGAAGCCTGCTGCACATTGGCACCTGAAAGAAACAAAATGTTATTATTATTAATGTTAGAAATGCATTAGAAGGGGCGCCTGGGTGGCTCAGTTGGTTAAGCGACTGCCTTCGGCTCAGGTCATGATCCTGGAGTCCCGGGATCGAGTCCCGCATCGGGCTCCCTGCTCGGCAGGGAGTCTGCTTTGCCCTCTGACCCTCCTCCCCCTCATGCTCTGTCTCTCATTCTCTCTGTCTCAAATAAATAAATAAAATCTTAAAAAAAAAAAAAAAGAAATGCATTAGAGGAAGTCTCCCATTTATGACAACATTGTGTCAACAGACTTTGAAAACTGAAAGGTCACAGATGCAGAGAACAGACTGGTGGTTGCCAGGGTCCGGGTGGGATGGGAGAAATGGGTGAACTGGGGTTTTGCTTTGTTTTTAATTTAGATAAATTGAGTAAACAACTCTGAAATGATGAAACATATTTTCCACATCAAAAAAGTACCTTAACTGTTAGTTACCTTTTTTTTTTAGTTCATTTAATTAAACCCGTTTAAGACAATATATATCTGAAGTGTTGTAATAGCAAAAATAGAGTAGGAAGTGGTTCTGGTCCAGGCAAATTATTATTTACACACCGGGAGTTTCTCTCCCCATAGAAGTGCTAGGAAAAAATATAAAAAGTTCACATGCTGTTCCAAAGGCTTTATATATATTAAACCAGTCTTTATAACAATGAGGTGACATTGTTATCATTCCCATTTTACAGATGAGTAAACTGTGGCTCAGAGAGGTTAATCTGCCCAAGTCTCCTTGTTACTAAGTGATGGAGTAAGATTTTAAACCCCATCTAGTGCCTTGTTCTTAATCAGTATGTGGTATAGTCTCTGTGGTATGCAACGAACCATTTAAACCTATCGGAATGGAAAATATATCTGATAATATCAAATGCTGACAAGGGTGTTTTAAACTGGGAAATCTCACATAGTGAGTAGAACTACAATTTGGCAAAGTTGATGGTCTGCATTCCCAGAGCCTGTATATCCATTTTGATTTACGTGCTCTAGGAAACTATTGCACGGTGCAAAAGGACACATGTAATGAACATTTATAACAGCATTATTCTACATGTTTATGAAGAGAATAGGAAAATAAACCATGGTATAATCATTTACTGGAATACTAATCAGCAGTTAAAATAAATAAACTAGAGCCAAATGTATCAACCTTGACAGCACATAATGTTGAGTGAAAACAAAACCCAAATTGCAAAAGGATGTATATAGTATAATACCAATTACGTAACATGGGAAACTATACTACGCATTGTTTATGTAGTAACATACGAAGTCTGAATGAGAAAGACAGACACCGACTTCAGAACAGTGGTTACTACTGAGGAAGAAGAGGCATGTGCGTGCGTGCGTGCGTACTGGAGGAATTCCAAAACTATCTTTAAAAGGTGTTTTTTTAAAACAAGAGATATGAATCAAATATGGCAAAATGCTAATGTTTGATAATTACCATGATGAGTGTGTGACTTTTATTGTTCTTGGTAATTTTTTGTATGTCTGAAATATTTTGTAATTAAAAAAGGACCTGTCCAATACATGATAATTAACATTGTCATTAGCAGGTTTACATTGGAATTGACAGGGGGAGGTCTTTACTGAGTTCTCTGCATTTGATGATAAATCTATTTTGGCTAGAATTTCACTCATCTTTATCTGCCCATGTTTGATATTCTAGCAATCCAATATCCTTGTCTATGAAATAGGTTCACTTTGGGGACAACCAACATTCCCTTTGAATTAGGAGAGTTTACGTTCACCTTTCCTCTAGTTAGGATTTAGACAAATTTGGTATTCATCAATTGTTTTTGACTCTGGGGAGAATTTAGAACTCTTGTTATCTGGAAATGTCTCATTGCTTCTGGTTAGGTCAGAAGATGTAAAAAGCCTATGAAAAGATGAAGCTACACTGCTAAGACTTCCTTTCCACATCAAGAGTGAAAGTCTCACCGGCAGAATGGGTTGCCTATTTCTTCTGGATCATGCCCTGGGTATTTGTTGGGGGGACAGTATTGAAGGGGGCTGAACCACAAGAGGACTGGGAAATGTTGCAACTGGGGTACTCTTTTCCCCCTTCCTTTTAACTTTTATAAACTTCCAGAGACAGTGGCATGTTGAGGATAATAAAGTTCCCTAAGATTTTGCAAGCAAGACCGGTCCATCTTTTGTACTGCAGAAGCCACAGACCCTTCAAGGGGAACAGGATGAGTGTCAGTTGTCAAACTGTGCTCTCCTGGCACCCCAAGAGCTGCCTCAGAAAGACGAAGTATGTCTCCTCTACAAATACTACTGTTTTCAACCACAAAAGGTTAGGTTTTATTATTTTACTTGTTTCCATTCATATTAGATTTCTTAAGAACCAAGGGTTACTAAAATAAAAGAAAAATGTTTGAAAACCACAGACATAGAATGTAGACTGGCTCTGTGACAGGTTGATGGCACAATTCCTTTTGACGTTAGCTAGTGCAAAAACTCCGGCTAAAATACAAGACACTTGACAATGAGTTTTGTCTAGTGCTTCGGTATTTGTTTCTGTGTTACTCTGTTTCCTTTCATCTTTTATGACTTCCCAAGTACACAACGGTGGTTTCCAAATCCGGCTGTGCATTAGAATCATTAGGGAACTTAAAACATACAGGCTGCCTATTTAAAAACTACAGACTCTACCCCAGACTTAGTGAATCAGAACCTCAGGTGGTGGGGAAAATCTACTGCCGCCTATCCTTGGGCTAGAATTAGGGAGTGGCTGACTTGGGACTTGAAGTAATATTCCATAAAGGCTGCAGAAGGACTAATGGTTGAGAAAAGAAAACCAGTGCAAAGAACCAGGCTTAGGGTTTTACCTGAAGCTATTGGCACCATCTTTACAGGTAGCTCCATTTCTGCATGGTTGACTGAGACACTCATCCACGTTTTTTTCACATCGGGTACCCAAAAATCCAGGAGGGCATTTGCACAAGAATCCCCCAACTTGATCTTCACAGACTGCATTATTTAAGCATGGGCTTGACTGGCATTCATTGACTTCTGTTTCACAGTGCAGGCCTGGGGACGAAGCAGGGTGAGAAAGAGCCCAAATGTTAACTAACCCCCCTGGGAAACTAGGATCGAAGTGTTGACTTCTTGAAGGATGTCGCTCCTAAAGCATCGGAATGGAAGCTGCCGAACTACTGGCCTCTCACACTGGTTTGAGATCTACTCTTGAATGAGCTTTGGCTTTTGTAAGTCATTTTAGGATTGTGTTTTGGATAATCTGCTCTTTTGATCTTAGGTCTTTCTGAAACTAACATTCGTAACGGACATCTAATTGAGACTATGTTAAAAAATAAAACTAGGAAATTTAGTTCAAAATTTTCCTGTTTCTTTGACCTTGCTTTTTTCCTGTTTCTTTAACCTTGCCTTTTTCCTTCACTGGTCATTTTTTTGGGGGAACTCTCTCTTTATAAATCATATATATAATTTATATATATGATTTATATATATGATATATATCATATTGTTTAGCATCTATTTGCAATATGATCTTACATGATTTATTTCCAGTTCCTTCTTGAATGTTTATCTTAGCATACAAGCTCTTGTCTTCTCTATGTCTCTTTCTCTGTCTCCCTCTCTCGCTCTCTCTCACACACACATACACACACTTTTTTCTAAGCTGTTTGTGAGTAACTGCACCCCTGATGCCCTTTGACCCCAAAATACTTCAGTGTGAATTTCCTCAAAAAATAAGGACTTCCTCTTGGATAATCACAGCATGGTTACAAAATCAGAAAATGAACATTAACATAATATAATGTTTAAAAATGTAGTAATTTGTGGTGCTTTGCAGGATAATATGCCAACGCAGGAAGAATGGGCTCACCTGTGTATCCTTTCATACAGGTGCAGCGATAGCTAGCCAGACCATCAACGCAGGTTCCTTTATTTAAACAAGGACTAGAGTAACACTCGTTTATATTTTCTTCACATAGTTTCCCTGCAAAGAATCACAGAATATTTTAGCTTGGAGAAGACCTGAAAGTTATTTTAGACGAATAGTTTTCAAGTAAGCTGTTCAGGTGTAACAGCAGAACAATCAGAAATTGTGGTTAATATGTTTGTGAAAAACTTTGCCAAATAAACTGAAATAAAATGTTTTCTTCCATTCTATTTATTGCAAAAATTTTCTAGCAAGAAAACTGACATTTTCAACATACAATGGAAAATGATAACTATGAATAGCTAGCTTTTTTTTTTTTTAGTTAGGATGATAAGTGTGATCTATTATAAAAATTTTATATTATTTTCTAGTTGTTCACCTCTTTGTTGAATTTATTCCTTCAGTTCTTAAATATGACTTATTTATCTACTAGTTGCAGGTTTATACCCTTAAAAAACATCCCCAGTAACCCACTCCCAGCACCTGACAACTACCATTCTACTATCCATTTCTTTCTTTTTAAAAAAAATTTTTTTTTTTTTATTTGAGACAGAGAGAGAGAGAGAGCACAAGCGGGGAAGAGGGTCAGAAAGAGGGAGAAGCAGCTATCTGCTGAGCCCGACATGGGGTTCGATCCCAGGACCCCGAGATCATGCCCTGAGCCGAAGGCAGACACTTAACCGACTGGGCCACACAGGCGCCCCTCTACTATCCATTTCTATGAGCTTGCTTTTTTTAGATTCCACATAAAAGTGAGATCATACAGTATGTCTTTCTCTGTCTGACTTATCTCACTTAGCATATGCCCTCAATTTTTATCTCATGTTGTTGCAAATGGCAGGATTTCCTTCTTTTTATGGCTGAGTAATATTCCATTACATATAACTCAATCACATTTTCTTTATCCATTCATCCCTTGAGGGACACTTAAGCTTGCTTCTGTATCTTGGCTATTGTGAACAATGCTACAATCAACAAACCTTCCAGATAATGATTTCATTTCCTTTGGATAGATATCCAGTAGTGGAATCACTGGATCATGCAGTAGTTCTATTTTTAATTTCTTGAGGAGCTTCCATACTGGTTTCCATAGTGGTTGCACCAACTTACATTCCCACCAACAGGGCACAAGGGTTTCCGTTTCTCCACATCCCCACCAACACTGTTATCTCTTGTCTTTCAATAACAGCCATTTGAACAGGTGTGAGGTGGTATTTCACTGTGGTTTTGATTTCCAGCAATGAAATTTTAATCATTCCAAGGTTTATATTGTAAAAACAAGAAACTTTCTTCTTACCTGCGTAACCAGGCGGGCATTCACAAATGAATTCCCCAATTAGGTCTTTACAAATTCCACTGTTGAGGCATGGCAGTGAGCTGCATTCATCAATGTCTGTTTCACACTTTAAGCCTGAAATGCAAATGAAATACTGAAGGACAATCAAAGAGTGGGATCAAGAGAAACAGAACCATGATCATTTAAAGGTAATTATCTCAATAATCTGAATTTATAGGGAGTGGTGGTGGTGAAGGAAAGGGCAAAAATTCCTTAAGTGCTATCATCTAGTTAAGTATTTAGTGAAAGTACTGCCTCTTTCTAGAGATTCAAGATATCTTGGGGCACCTGGGTGGTGCAATCAGTTAAGCATCCGACTCTTGGTTTGAGCTCAACTCTTGGTTTGGGCTCAGGTCATTATCTCAGGGTCATGAGATCGAGCCCCGTGTCAGGCTCTGTGCTCAGTGTGGAGTCTGCTTGAGTTTCTCTCTCCTTCTCCCTCCACCCTGCTCTCTCTCTTTCTAAAATAAATAAATAAATATTTTTTAAAAAGTTATCCTTATAAGGAGGGGAGCCTGAGTGGCTCAGTAGGTTGGGTTTCTGACTCTTGGGTTTCAGTTCAGGTTGTGATCTCAGGGTCCTGGGATCTGGGCCCTGTGTCAGGCTCAGTCGGTTAAGCGTCTGCCTTTGGCTCAGGGCATTATCTTGGGGTCCTGGGATCGAGACGGGGTCCTGGGATCGAGACAGCCTCCTGAGATCTAAGAAAGCAGACAGGGAGTCTGCTTTTCCCTCTCCCTCCCCCATGGTTCCCCCCCGCCTTACTCTCTCTCAAATAAATCAATAGATAAAATCTTAAAAAAAGGGAAAGATATCCTTATAAGGATACATAAAAGGTAGCAGAAAATTCCAAGTTAGAAGCTGGGGGTGGGGAGGACAGGGAGGAAGACCTGGTAGCATAAAATTAGTTTCACTCCAAAGTGAAAAATGTAGAGTCATATATACTTGCTATCAAGGCCATTTGGCTGAGGAGTGGGGGTGGGGCTAAGTCCTGCCAGATTTCAGCACATATGCAAGGTGTCCCAGAGTGGGGACATATCTTCTGATACAGTGCACATAAACTATCTGTGGGCTAGCTCTGCCAGAAATCCATGTTCTTCCTCTACACCAGGGAATCTCAAAGTGTGGCCTCTGGACCAAGAGCATCAGCAATTACCTGGGAATGTGATAGAAATGAAAATGATCAAAACTTCTCTAGACCTATTGAATCAGAAATTCTGGGTTAGAGTCTAGTACTCTGTGTTTTAAGAAGCCCTCCAGATGATTCTGATGCACATCAAAACTTGAGAACCACTGCCCAAATTATGCCCTTTCTCAACCACCACTTGCTTACAAAATTCTGGGACAAGATCCATTATTTCTTATGGAATGTCAGGACAAAAATTTTTATAAAAATTGAGACACACACAATATACATATAAGCAAGCTGAAATAAGTGGAATGCCAATATTCTTGATAGCCCTGGGCTACATTCGTCTTCCAGTTTTCCTTTTGCTCATTTTGTGGTGAATTCTTTTATTTTAATGCCATCTTTCTCATTGAAATGACATTTCATGTTAGCTCTACAAAAGTAAAAAAAAAACGCAAAAACTGCATTTCTAAGAGAAAATAGTGAATTATTTGAAATAAATTACAATTTTAAGATATAATTCATTTCCCCCTCAAAAATTTTATTTCTGAACGGAACTGGAATGTGAATTACACTATAAGAAAACATAATTCTTATATAATTTCTACATAATCAAGTTCAAAGCCATATTGTTTTTCCAAGAACGGTTTCCAGAAAGATAGAAACAAAGCAACAAATCATAGCTATTCATAAGAACTTCCACTAATGTGAAGCCTATTAGAGAAACTGGAGTTTGTTTAAAAATATTTATGCTGGACAATCTGTTCTATGTTGGGTAACATATCATACATTTAAGTGTGTTAGAGTGGAACCTTGGCCTCTGAAACTGCATTCCTATTTAGATTGTGAGCTATGATGTGACCTTTTCATAGAGAAGATGGTTCTTTATTCTTCCTCCAAAATGTGCAAGGAAAACTGTTATTTGTAAGATACGTACACTTTTTTTCACCTTGGTTTATCTTGTTCAACCAAACTTTTATGCATTGATATAGTCCAATGTATTTATCTCATAGTTTGATGTGCAAACCACAATGATTTCATCTGAAAAATATACTAAAATTTGCATTCGTCTATGTTACCTGTATATCCAGATGGACAGAGACAAACATAACCACGCCCAAGCTGTTGGCAGGTTCCACCATTGTGGCAGGGGTTTAAGAAGCATTCATGGAAAACCTACCGGTGGCAAAAAGAAATCTATCAGAGACAAAACACTTCAGTCATTTCGAAGCAATGCTGACTATGGAGTTTGAAGGTTTGCAGTATTAGACAGGTGGTTCCTTTTTCCACGTGAGTTCGCTCAAGCTAGCTGGACCACTGCCTGCATAATGTTGGTGCCTGCCACATATGGACACATATGATACATATTATTCTTGAGTGATATTCTTAAGTGATATTCTCCATTTGAGATGCTTTAAAAGTATAAAGGATAGGGCCCCACCCCAGACCAGCTAATCAGAATCTCTGAGAGTGGGATCTGTGAATCCTTATATTTTCAAGTTGGCCGGTGGATTCTAATATGTCTTCAGGGTCACTGCTCTAGTGGTTCTTACAAATTTCTGTGTCTGCTAGGCTCAGTTTCAAATATGACTTACAAAGCCCTTAAAGGCCGGTATGTTTGGACAAGACCGTAGGAAGTTAAAATAAGAAATACAACTTTATTATCCTCCTTAAAAATACTTAAAGCCAAAGAATTCATCATGACATTGGGCTAGGTCTATTCAGAGTAATGGTTGAATCTACCAAAATAATTGGTCTTCACTAGTCTTTTTTTTTTAAAGGAAAACAATTAGTTACGTTCATGAGTTATGTTTCTTAACATACATTATTCCAATAAATGATCTTTTTTTTTTCCTGACAAAAAATTTAAATAATTTTCATGAATGTTGAGTACTCTTCCTGCCAACCAGCAAAGGCCTTTGGCTAAACCAAATGCCTCTTACTCAAATGATGGGTTATGCTTGAGGTAAGTGTTAATTATTAGTGAATTTAAAGGTTCCCCACATCTACACATTCTCTATGCCAGCCACTGTTGGGGAAAAGCCCCAATTTTTTGGTAGTTAGAACTTTCCTAATGCTGCATTTTTGGAAAGTTCTTATTAGAAGTCACAAGTAAATACTATTATTCATTGATAATGTTCCTGAGACTTCCAGGTCTCAGGATATTCCAGATATTCCTGGATTCCAGATATTACTCTGGTAGTTTCAGCTCCGGTAGTTTTCCTCTGTACAGCATGTATAATGACAGAGTGTTTTTCCAAACATTCCACTGGAGAAGATTGTATAAGTATAAAAGGGACTTGCCTGACTGCTGACTTCATACTTCTTTTTAATATGTCCAGGAGAAGCACGGGGTACTATACTTTCCTCTGCTGCTGAGAATGTTGAGCTAAAAGCTAGTAAGATTAATAAGAAAACATGAGAAAACCATATTAGTGTGTGGTACATATTGCCCATAAGTAGATTCTACCTAAATACTATGGTCAATGTTCTAGTTCTCAGAGTAGGTAAAGTCACATGTATTTTGTTTTAGGAATAGTAAAAAAGAGAGTATATAGATGGATGGGATACATCATTAAATCCCAGACTCTCAGAAAGAAACTGGGAAGTTATCAAGTTCAACGCTGCCAAAGTAAGAATCTTTGAGTCACTGTCATCAAAAAGGCCTCAAAAGACCAGACACCCAAATCCACTGAAAATAGTGATATTCAGAATTGAAGCTACGACGAGACAAAGACAGGTCTCCAACACATGGGATTACATAAGAAATGAAGTGTATCTTTCTTACTGGAGCAATCTGTGATGGATCTGGTACCACTGGTGGCTGTAGTTCCATGAAAGGGACAAGATAAGCAGAAGGACTTTCCTGAATTGGGTTGGTAGTAGTCTTGAGGACATGGATAACAGGGCATTAGTCCAGAACGAGAGAATTCTCCTACTGGACAAGGTACTGCAAAGGTAAAAAATCATTTGTGAGTCCAAAACAACATAGTTTACTTTTAAAAGAAGTGCATTAACCCTCACTTGTAAGAAAGCTACTGAATTGCTAATATATTCTCTTGCACATATTTAATACCCATACTATCTTATCACCCACATAAACATTCTGTTGTTTCCTTCCTCTCTTAACAACACACATTAACTCAATAAAAATTTGAATTGATCATGTAATACTGTATTCTGAGTTTTCCACTTTACATGATATCCTCAGCATTTCACAAATTGTTAAATAACATGGTGTTTAATAAAAGAAAAATATTGCATGCCATTGACAGGACATAATTGAGACACATTTTCTCTACCATTGGACATTTAGGTTGTTTCTATTTGTTAGCTATTATAAATAATGCTGACATGAAATTTTCTGCATAAACCTCTGATTCTTTCCTAGGGATAACCGTTGAATTTGAACAGCTGAATTTGAGTAGTTGAATCTATAGGCCTAAAGATAATGGAAAATTTAAAGCCAATAATATATAATGTCAAATCATCAAAAAAATATGGTTCTAACTTATAGCCCCATTAGTAATGTATGGAATTGCTCTTACTGCATACTCATTACTGATAATGATCATTTAAATACTTTTTTTCAATTTGAAAGTGAAATGGAATTGCACTGTTATTTTAACTTGCATTTCAATGATAAATTAAGTTCATGTTTGTCAGAAAATTGTATTTCTTCTGTGTTGTTCTCTTCTGTATGGGGAAGAGGGCTTTTTTTTTTTTTTAACTTTTAAACCTTTTAATGTCATTTTGTGTTAGACATGCTTTTTATAAACAACATCCAGTTGAATACTGTGATTTAACCAAATCTGAAATTCTCTTGCTAATAATTGGTAGAATATTAACCAAACAAGAAATAGCTTCAAACATAACATGAACCTGCATTTGCTTTGATAAATTTTAGTTGCTTTTGGCAGAACTACAGTGGGGCAGACCAGTCATGACTCAATCTTTGGGTTGGGATTTTAGATTGTGACCCAAAGATGAATTCAACATGTTCTTTTCTTGTATGAACTGGTCTCATCTGCATGAGCCCTTAAACCATTATGAACAGAGAAAAACCACTAAAACTATTAAGACTTGTCTCGTAAATTTAAATAGAAGACAGAATGCAAAGAAGTAGCTATTTGGGAATCTCAGCATATTTATCACGTAGGCTTTGGATTTTTGTTAATAAAAATTAGTATGGCAGAAATGATTAGCAATGTGGTTGAAAAATTTAGAAATGCACTCAAGGCTCAATGGGGCAGGATACTCCAAGTAATGGCATCTCTTTTTTTGGTATGACCATAAACATTAAATAAACAATAAGGCATTTGTGGTAATCTCAAGATGTTTAGATCAAAGTGTTTAAGCAGAAACAGCCATTCACGTCTTTTGCAAAAGTGCTCTTTTATATCACTGACAAAAAGTCAGGAGTCAAACCAAGAGATGGCAGAAGATATCATAAATATTAATGCTTGTACCTCTGAAACAAATAATACATTATATGTTAAGAAAAAAAAAGAAGATAGCAGGAAGGGAAAAATGAAGGGGGGGAAATCGGAGGGGGAGACGAACTATGAGAGACTCTGGACTCTGAGAAACAAACTGAGGGTTCCAAAGGGGAGGGGGGTGGGGGGATGGGTTAGCCTGGTGATGGGTATTAAAGAGGGCACGTATTGAATGGAGCACTGGGTGTTATACGCAAGCAATGAATCATGGAACACTACATCAAAAACTAATGATGTAATGTACGGTGATTAACATAACATAATAAAATAAAAAAACAACAAAAAAAAGAAAAACAGATTTCTTCTGGCTACATCTGTTATATTAAAACTTTAAACTATAAGTATCTTGGTCAAACAAGATACTTGTTATACCAAAAATATTTGTTATATTAAAACTTTTTTAAAAACATTTTTTAAAGGATTTTATTTATGAGAGAGAGAGAGAGTGTGCACAAGCCGGGGCGGGGTGGGGGGAGGCAGAGGGAGAGTGGGAAGCAGACTCCCCACTGAGCAGGGAGCCCTAAATGGGATTTGATCCCAGGACCCCAAGATCATGATCTGAGCCAAAGGCAGACTCTTAACCAACTGAGCCACCCAGGAGCCCCTAAAACTTTAAATTATAAGTATCTTTGTTTCACCAACAATAAATTAATCTATTCTTTGTTGCTAGATCTCAGAGTTCTAGACAGGGTTTTGCACAAACATATTAAAAGGTTGCTGAGTTTATTCTTTAAAATAAATAAATAAATAAATAAATAAATAAATAAATAAATAAATAAAGTTGCTGAGTTTAAAATGGGTTTTCTGAATCTTAAGTTTCAAAAAATGATTACCTATTTGGAAAAGGTAACTCCAAACAGCTAATTAAAGTAGTTAACTGGAAGCATAGATCTTCCACTGGTAAAGGTATAAAACTTTGGTTTGAGAAAATATCTATGAGTGTGTATGATAAGGTAAAAATACAAATTGTGTCAGTGAAACCAAGATGCTATGATGAATTAAACTCTTTTGCACATACAATTTTTTCGGCACAATCTTACCCTCAAAAAGAAGACTATGCCCCTAGAAACTGACAGAATGCCAAAAATTATACTAATACGTAATAATAAAATCTTAAGATTAAAAATCAGCAAACTGGTTAGTGAACACGTTGTTGTGACGTCTATACTTTGTTTTTTGACATAGAAAATGTAAATTTTCATGTGAAAATTAGCTTAAATTATATTCCAAGGGCAGACAGTTGTCATCAGAAATATATTTTCCAGGAGTGGACAATCAATACTTAATGTATTATTTACACATATAGTAAATATACATATACACATATAGCATATGTATGTGTAAATATAACATACATACATAGTAATAGCATTATCTGTAGTACATAATACAGTATTAAATACACACACATGCACATATACAGAGGCAGTTCCTGATGGTCTAACTTCCTAAGAAGAGAGGGGAGAAAGTTTCATTTTGAATCTTGACCAAAGAAACTATGGTTTCTGAGTCCATAAAAATGGGACAAAATCCTTTTAACTTCTACTCAAGAGAGAAAGAGAGAGAGAGAAAGAGAGAGAAATCTAAGTATACCAAAAGTGATTTTAAAATAGAATTAAAAATAGAGCCTTGAAATGACCAGGAAAAATGTAATCTCACATGTCTGTTCCTGGACAGTGTTAAAGATAACATACAGAGCCCTGGAGCCAAGTGAATTTTGCCTTTTAAATGGGTTTCCTAAGACAAATTGAAAGGTCAGAGACTCTCATCCTAAGTCTCCTTTTAACTTCATCCTATAGGGTTAGGGTAAGAAATGTCATCCTGGCTCAGCAATCATCTTTCCTTTTTCTACAGGACGATGTGTAAACAATACCATCACCAAAAAATCATTTGTGGGACTTATTCTTCAGATAAAAGTCATTTTTAAAAAATGAAAAATTTCTAGGGCACCAGGGTGGCTCAGTTGTTAAGCATCTGACTCTTGACTTCAGCTCAGGTCATAATCTCAGGGTCGTGAGATCGAGCCCGGCACTGGGCTCCGCACTCAGCGGGGAGTCTGCTTGAGATTCTCTCTCTCTCTCCCTCTGCCCCTGCTCTCTCAAATTAATTAATTAATTAATTAATAATTAAATAAAATGAAACAAAATATTTCAGACTCTTGAGTTTGTAACCACAGACCCATAGATATTTAATATCTTAAGTAGTGATAAAAGATGAAATGCATGAAATAAATATTACTTTAATACTTAAATATAGTAGCTGTGTTGATTATATTTTAAGTTCAACATGCTAAACAATGCAAAAAGTGATACTTTAGTAAAAAGTGAGGTAAACCATAAACATACATATAAAAAGAAATCACTACAGAAAGAAAAACTAAGGAAGGAAGGAAGTTTAAAACTAAGAAAAATTTTAAAAAATAAATAAATAAAACTAAGAAAAATATACATAAGGGACTGTTTTAGAAATCATACACATGTAAGTTTAAAGTAAGATGGTGTTTATTTACCACCACAGGGGAGAGTGCTGAGTGTTGCTGTTCCCAACTCACTCATGACAAGAAAATGTGGTTAAACTTGTGCTGGGAATATATTAGGAGAAATACAGCAGTTAACAGAAGTTTAGAGACTTTCTGGGAATCATAATGGCTTAATTGGAATAATTTGGTATTAAACAAACCTCAAGGCTTATTTGGGAAGCTAAAGGGAAAAATCGCCAATTTTGAATTTGTTTTACTGTAAAAATCCTAGTTACTTTTGTGGTTGGAGGGAGAGAAAAAGAAAGAGAATTTTCACTGCAGACCTTCTTCCAAAATTCATCTGTATATTGACAAAATAAGAGTCTCTAGTAGATCTATTTCAGCCATAATGTGGAGTCTTATTTGCCTTTTAATAAAAAAAAAAAAAAAAAAAAACCTCAATGCTGGTATTACACAACAGACATGGTTTATGAGTTTCAATCAGGTCCTAGTTAATTCTCTTCTCTTCAGTGAAACGTCAAGTTAATGAATACTGCTTGCCCAATTCCTCAGGTCTAACAGACTTGTATCTACTGTGATCCTACTACATTGAGATAATATAAGCAGATGGAATATATAAAAACCTGTAATTATAGTAGGCTTCCCCATTTTCTCCCTGCCTCACTAATTTATGAGGACTACATCTCCTGAGATGCAAGGCTGGACACGCCCCTCCCAGCGCCATACAAAAATGTCCTATGTACATAGTTGTTTTCTGGGAATTTGTTTCTAACCGAATGCAGAGGTATATATGACTGGGGTACAATGAGGCTGTGTGTGTGTGTGTGTGTGCGCGCGTGCGCGCAGCTTGAGAGAAATGGGGAGCAAACAGATTGGTCTCTTAAAAACATTGCTATTCAATAAGGGAACAGTTTTTTAATTTTCAGATGGCCACAGACCTTAGATTTTTAAATAAGGATGTAGAAAAAGGGGAGGATATATAATTTTTAAAAAAGTCATGTTTCAGCCAGCATGTTTGTTCTGTTCCCAGTGATATAGCAGAGGTAGGCCAACAACTTTTTATTTTTAATCGAGTTCCATTGACTTTGCAAAGTACGTGGAGTTTGGAGTTCCTGGCAGCAGGATGACCTTGACTCTTAGTTTCACGGCCATTTTAAGTTTTCATCTTTTTGTTTTGTTTACATCTTCTAGCCTTTACCGTGCTGGAAAACTGTACTTGGTAGGGATGTTAGAAATACTTGAAAATTGAAACTCTAATCTTTTTATGTTTATTGTGGTTTTCAACATATGGTCTCTGGACCAAGTAGAAGCAGCATCCCTGGCAAATTAGTTGGAAATGTAAATTCTCAGGCCCCACACCAGACCTGCTGACTTAAAAATTTGAGGGCTGGGGCCAGCAATCTATGTTTTTAAGCCCTTCACGCTGACATTTGAGATCTGAAATTAGTCGTACTCAATTTTTCCTGTTACTTTAAGAATCACTGGGGGCAAGGTGGGGGCACTTAAAAAGAAAACCAGACAAGTTAAGTCAGAATGTCTGGGAGCCAAGATTGGGCTTCAGTGTTTTAAAAATGCTGAGGTAAATGTGCAGATAATTCCAAAGTGCAGCCAGAGTGGATAACCACTCACAAAAACCTGCAAACTGTAGGAAATGAAATATCATAATTCATAAAATGTCTTTTTAGAGTTTCAAGGAACATGAGACAGGACCTCACTTCAGAAAGGAAGAAACGAAGTTCCTAGATGAGATGCATTTCTACCATATAATGAAGCCACATGTTTATTAATGTTGAATACTAGCACCAAGTCTTGTACTTTTTTTGTGTGTTCCTAAAGTCACCAGCACAGTGTTTATATTGAGAGTGTTTATACTTAAGCATTGACTGGCTGAATACATGGAAACTCTCCATGAAGAGACAGTTATTTACATTCTTTGCATACAGTAGACATATGGTTTTGCTGAAAATAGTCCACTCCTCCATGCATAGAATCTATGGGGTTTGAAGAAATATCAGTGTCTAAGGCTTTGATAACCTCCACAAGCAGAAATATTCACGGCTCCTCTTTTCACAGTGGAAGTATTTTCTGGACACGAGACGCAACTCCGGGAACCAAATGCTGGCTGATAACTGCCCAGCGGACACGATTCACAAATCTCAAGCCCATTTGATGAGTAGGTGCCTTGTTTGCACTGAGCTGAAAAGAAAAATGTAATATGGTTAAGAATGATGACATTAAGCTATACAAAACACAAAGTACTCCAAGCATGTAGATGGTAGTTTCAGACTGCTTCATGCTTCTCTGCGCTAATAAGCTTTAGACTGATTTCCGGTTACTTTCTTTATTACCTGGCATAGCCACAGAGAAAGCACCAATAAATGGTTTTTGAGTGAAGTTAGAAATCTCATCTCAGAAAGGTGTTTTGACAAGAACAAGTTGTACAGAGGGGAACTTGTTCTTGTATAAGTTCTCAGCTTGTACTGAATTCTCTGGAGTAACAGAAACAAAACCTCAAACTGGGCGAGAGCCTCAAAAGTACACGGGCACCTTTGTTTCTCTACGAATTGGCCCTCTTATGTCCCCCTATCTGCAGACCCCATCGGAGGGCTGGCGGAGTAGAAAGTACAAGTAGTCTTAGCATGAGGCCCAGGGAAATTAAGCAACTTTCTAAGATTCATAGCAATGGTTCTGTGGGAGAGCAGGACTAGGGCCAGAATCCTCAACCCCTAGTGCACAATCCTTTTCTTCTGCTCTTGTTCTCCAAATGATGCTCATTGTCAGCATTTTTAGCGCACTTCTAATCACCTAGTAGAGCTCTCCAGTTTCTATTTGTCATTAAGCAATCACACCTGCATTTGTAACAACAGCAAGGGGCACAGTTCTGAAATTTCTTTTTTTAGGTGTATCTTTTTTTTTAAAGTTTGTTTGTTTGTTTATTTATTTATTAAAGTCATCTCTGCACCCAACATGGGGCTCAAAATCATGACCCCAAGATGAAGAGTACCTGCTCTACTGACTGAGACAGCCAGGAGCCCCTTAGGTATATCTTATTGTAACTTTAATCGTGAAAGAAAATGTTTCCATCAGAAATGTTTATTGAGAATGATAATAAAATGTTTTGAAAATATGGAGTATTTTAGTAGCAAGAATACATGCATATTAGTAACCTATAGTTATTAATTTCCAAGTAAGTGGAGAATTGATCTCATTGTATCAAATATTATTCTAACAAAATGCAAACTCATGATTGCTAAAATGTTATGAAAGTCCTTTCCACCAATTAATTTGAGATTCGATAAAAAAAATCTGAGCTAATTGATAAATGCAGATTAGAATTGGGGCACCTGGGTGGTGCAGTCAGTTAAGCATCTGACTCTTGATTTCCACTCAGGTCATGAAATCAGGGTTCTGGGATCGAGCCCCGGGTCAGGCTCCATGCTCAGCGTCGAGTCTGCTTGAGGTTCTCTCTCTCCCTCTGCCCCTCCCACTTGTGCTCTCTCTCTCTCAAATAAATAAATAAATCTTTTTTAAAAATGTGGATTAGGGGCGCCTGGGTGGCTCAGTTGGTTAAGCAACTGCCTTCGGCTCAGGTCGTGATCCTGGAGTCCCGCGATCGAGTCCCGCATCGGGCTCCCTGCTCCTTGGGAGCCTGCTTCTCCCTCTGCTTCTCTCTCTCTCTCTCTCTCTCTCTGTCTCTCATGAATAAATAAATAAAATCTTTAAAAAAATAAATAAATAAAAATAAATAAATAAAAATAAAAATGTGGATTAGAATTATTGACAATGGAGTTTGACTTAGAGCAACAGAATATTCCAAAGGGAAAAAAAACAGACTTCTTTAAAGTGAGGGAAACATTAAGGTAACAATTTAAAATTAAAAGAAAAAAATAAATCAGTGAAATTGCTTGTAGTAATGCTCTTATTTCATCCTATTTGCCATTTAGACTTCATACGTGAAGGTAAAATTCAGGCTTCTGGTCAAAATGTGCACTAGGCCATTACCTTTGCATTCTGAGATGCTTCTTGAATGGAGATACTCAGTATATGTCCCAGCTGGACAGGGTTTGCACTCCAGTTGCCCTTCTTCATCCTGATAGAATCCACGCAAGCAGCTTTCACAGATAGAACGTTCCAGAGAATAAAAGGTTCCCAAAGGGCAATTGACTGAAAAGAAAACCAACAGGAAACACTGAAACCAGTAAACTATAGAAACGGAACACATTTAGGTTCCTTTTTCCTAAGGCATGAAAATAATAAAGCATGCTTCCAAGTACTAAGCTTACTGTCAGAGGTTTACTCACAAGATACACCTTCCAGAAATGTATTCCTAGAAACAAACAGTAAGATTTTTTTTAAGAAAATGAAAATTCTTATTGCCCAAGCTTAGGGCTTGTGTGATAGGAGCCTTAAAGTGTGGGTTAAACCAGGTCATCCTGGGAAACATATAGCTAACAAAGAAAAGGCTGCTGTAAGGAAAGAATAAAACGTGAACACTTAGGTTAATCTGAGGTTTCAAGATATGAAAAACAGTTTCTTAGCTGTTCCTCCAAATGGTTCCCTTATGAAACTGACTGCTGGTCTATTACAGCATCATTTCTAGAAACAAAACCAAGCAAAGGTTGTGAGTCTAAACCAGGTGAGTTAAGCAGACCCTCGTCTCTGCTTACAGGAAATACTGTCCACTAAAGGTAAGTCTGAGACATCCTTGGACTCAAGGGTCCCAAGGAAACGGGCCAATTTGAGGACCTTCCTTCCTTGGAGATTTGGTCTGCTACTTGGCAGGCTTGAAGTGACTCAGGATTTCTGAGACCAAAGCGGAATGTTAAGCCCATGGAAAGACTGCTAGCAAAGTGAGTATTTGTATAGAGAGGATACTTGAAATTAGCACCTAGATGATTCCGATGATAAAGTGTGTAAGAATTATGTGGGAACTCACTAAAGATTCAGATTCCAAGGCTCTGCCCCCCCCAGTGTTGGATGTATTAGTTCTGGGATGGGGCCCTAGTCAAGATGCACTTTGATAGGCCCTTCAGGGGATGTTGACACAGGTGGTCTGAAGACCATACTGAGAAACGCAGAACACTGATCAAGGTGATTCCTAATTTTTACTCACAACGTAGGGAGGAAACAAGAACAGGTTCAGAATGACCATTTTAAGGTGCTTTTGTTGGGCTGAATTTATCACCCACGTAAGTGAGCTCTGGGAATATCAATAAGAACTGTTGAGGAAGGTTTTCCAAGCAAGGGGAAAGACCCCATGCCTCCAGAGAGGTAAACACCAGACTCACATACAGAGTTTGGTTAGAGGAGTCTCCCCTATCTATAAACAATGACTTACTTGGGAAACAGGCTGGAATTGATGCAGATTGTGGCAGTCTGGGTTAAAAGTTAAGGGGCTGTGGGTAAGGAGAATGAGGAGTGGCTGTTTAATGGTTATTGGGGGTCTCCTTTGGAGGTGATGAAAATATTTTGGTGGTGGTGATGGCTGAACAGCATCGTGAGTGTGCTAAATGCCACTGAACCATACTCTTTAAAATGGTTGATTTTATGCCATGTGAATTTGGCACTGGCTACCTGGGTGGAAATCTTAGCTACACCACTTACTGTCTTAATAGATAAGACTTCCTGAGTAAGTTCCCAGCCTCTCTGGCTTCAGTTTTGCCATCTGTAAAATGTGCTTACTAGTAATAGCACTTCACAGAGTTGCTAAACAGAATTAAACACGAGAGGTGCTCAGCCAGCCTACGGAAGTGATCAGAAAGTATTAGTCATTGTTACTGGAGATGCTGCTAAAAGTTGTGAGCTCTAAAGATCTAGAAATAAAACTAAGATCTGAGTCCCTTACCTGAAATAGTTTTCTTGTCCTGAACAACGGTGGTTTACTTAGATTCCTGAGACAAAATAATAATAAGAACAACCACACAACAATTGCAAAATGTTTCATTTCAATACCCTTGTATAGTTGTAAAGCAGCTCTACTCGTCTCATCTGACCCACTATGAGCCAGACATTTTTTTATCGCAGCAAAAAGTCTTACCACACATACGCCCTCTCAGCACCGAGCCTGGTCTGCAGAAAAGGAAAGCCTTCTCTGTCTCTAACGAATTGCTGTCGGCTACCAGAATTTCAGATGAAAGCTGAAAGGAGTACATGGGCTCCTGACTGAGGGTCCTTTCCAGTTGATTTGTGATGGTTTCCAAAGTCTTAATGAGTCGCTGCTGATTTTCCAGCTCAAGGGTATCATTTCTTTCATCGGGTAATAGCACACTAGCTGAGATAAAAACAAGACGAAATAAAACATAACACACACACATGGTGTTTCAGGAAACCATTTGTAGTTAGTTTGCTTTTGTTTTGTTTTTTTTTTTACCAAAAAGAAATGGCACATTAAAAATCTTCCGGGAAAAATAAACTCACACTCAACCACTACTTACTGAGCAACTAGTATATGGATAATGTTAAGAACAATGCAATTTGTTTTAATCCTTCTCTCATTTGCTGGATCTACATCACCTTTTTGTGAAGCTCTTCCTTACAGCATGTTAAATTTCTGTAAATTCTTGCTTTTTAAAAACATGCCTTAGTTCGTCATGCCAAGGTGAGTACAAAGCAGGATGCTTGTTGCTGCGAGAATCATAAAATACATCTGTGATATTAAATTGCAAAAAATGACAAAACTTAGGTGATGGTGCTCTCCCTAATTTTCAGTTCCAGGATTATTTCCTAAGAATGATAACACATGGAAAATTTGCAAAATAGGTTTCCCACCAAGAATTTCACATTATATTGTCTTTTCAAACAGACAGTCTATCCTTACCTGTGATGTTAAAAATTAACTTAATTTTGTGGTTAGATAATGGGGCACTTCTTCTAATTCGTGAAGATCTGGCTTTGCCGACACCTGTGGGTGTTTCTTGCATGGAGTCCAAGAAATCATCGTAAGAGTAATCCAGCCTATTAGCTGCACCCCAACCACCAGGTCCTGGACAGTTGGGGCAGAGAAACAAGATTCTACAGTTGCCTTTTTATCTGCATTTAGGTTTGAATGTTAAGCCACAAGTCAAATTGCCCCTATTTCTTCAATTGTCCATAATGTACTGCATATGGGGATGCATCTAGAATCTCATTTATTTCTCATCTATAATCTTATATTGTAATTTTTAGGCACTTCATTTTAGATCTAGATTACCAATGAATTGCACAAGAAGAAAGAAAAGTCCCTTTGGAGCTACCTGGGCATTTAAGCCATTCTTACCTTTGAGTTAATAGTTAATTACCTTAGCTTTAGAGGTAAATAGGATATGGGTGCAGAATTTTAATCAATTCCTACTTCCCTTCAGGGTTTGCTCCATTCTTTTTTAAAAATTTTAATATCAGCTTTATAAACTTAATGCAAATGAACAGGTTTCCTTTTATGAAGATTATTCAGGATACTGCATTATATTTTAAAGGTGGGGGCAGGGGTGCCTGGGTGGTGCAGTCAGTTAAGCAAAGGACTCTTGGTTTCAGCTCAGGTTGTGATCTCAGGGTCGTGGGATCAATCCCCACATCATGGTCTCCATGCTCAGCATAGAGTCTGCTTGAGATTCTCTCTCCTTCTCCCTCTGCCCTTCCCACTTGTGCTCACTCTCTCTCTCTAAAATAAATAAATAAATTTTAAAGGTGGGGACAGTTTCTGAAGGTAGCATGTAAGTTAAATGTGTATGTAACCAGGCTAGAGTATATAACATGGATATGTGAGATTCTTTAGATGCCCCAGTGCCATTGTGACCACCCACATGGATTCAGATTGTAGCTTCTGGATGTAGGGTATAAGGGTGTACAATTCTAGTCAAGTTACTTTCCTCTCTCTCAGCCTCAGTTTCTTCATTTATAAGTTGAGGTCATTCTTCTGACCTCACAGGTTTGGGGGATAACTCAGACAATATATATACCATTCAGCTCAGCATTTGACTCATTCTAAAACCTCAGTAAATGATATTAATATTGGTCTGGGTATATTGTTGTTGTGTGATTATGTGCTTTAAATATCAAATTGTATTTATACAGGCCTGTCCACCTATGTAAGTGGTTTAAGATTTTTAAATGAAATTTAGAGTTTTAAATAAAATAAGCTCTTAAAATTTTTTTTTGTCTAATTTATGTCTTTGGCCATTAAAATTACCTAAGATAAATATTTTTGTTTTTCACTTAAACATCTTTCCCACAAGCATTATGTAGCCATTATAAAAAAACAGATGAGCGGGGCAGAGCAAGATGGCGGAGGAGTAGCAGACCTGGATTTCGTCTGGTCTCAGGAATTCAGCTGGATAGGGGTCAAACCATTCTGAACACCTACAAACTCAACAGGAGATCGAAGAAAAGAAGAGCAACAACTCTCTCATCAGAAAAGCGACCACTTTCTGGAAGGTAGGATGTGCGGAGAAGTGAATCCGAGGCGATATTTGGGAGGATAGACAGTGGGGTAGGGGCCTCCGTCGGCCGCTTCTGGCAAGTGATAGAACCACGGAGCACAAAATCGGAACTTTTAAAAGTCTGCTCCGCTGAGGGACGTCACTCCGGTGGCTAAGCGGGGGGTGGAACCCTCTGGGACAGTGTGGTCTCAGGACCCCCGGGGTCACAGAAAGACCGGGGGTGCCTGAGTGCGGCAGAGCTCCCAGGGATCGGAGCAGGGAAGCCGGCTGCAGAGGCGGAGCCCAGGCGCGGGCTCTCAGCTCGGGGTGGCCATAAACCGTGATCCGCGGCACAGTCGGGCCCCTGCTCCTCCAGCAGGGACCCAACAGGCGGCAGATCCGGGGAGACTCACCTTCCTCCCCCGGGAGGAGCCGCGCGGGAGTGCACCGCGGGGATCTGCTGGGTTTGGAGACTCCACCCGGGCTCGGGGGCCAGAGATAGAGGCGCGCGGTCACAGGCCGGGTGAGCAGGGAGTGTGGCCGGAGACCGGGGAGACGGGAGTGACTGACGGCTTTTCTCTGGGGGCTCACTGAGGAGCGGGGCCCCGAGTTCTCGGCTCCTCTGGGGTGGAGATTGGGAGGCTGCCATTTTCACTCTCGGCCTCCACCGCTGCACGGAAAGCTCGCAGGGAACAAAAGCTCCCGAGAGCAAACCCCAGCCGATTACTTAGCCCGGACCGGGCAAGGGCGGGGCAATTCTGCCTCCGGCAAGGATTTTTGGAAACCACGGCAACAGGCCCCTCCCCCAGATCAGCGAGAACAGCCAGCCAAGACCAAGTCTACCGATCAATGAGAACGGCAGAACTCCAGCGCTAGGGGAATAATGCACATAGAATTCATGGCTTTTTTACCATGATTCTTTAGTCTTTCAAAGTTAATTTTTTTTAACTGTCTTTTTTTTTTTTGAATTTTTCTTTTTCCCTTTTTCAACCAACATCTTATCAATTCCTTTTTTAAAACACATTTTTATTTTTCATTTTTAGAGTCATATTCTATCCCTTCATAGTAGTTACCCATATTTTTGGCATATATATATAAGTTGTTCTCTCTTTAAAATTTTGAGATAGTTTCTTCTAACAGATCAAAATATACCCTAAATCTCTAGTGTATGGTTTTTTTCTACTCCCCTGCCTGATCATATTCTCTCCCTTTTTTTCTTTTTTTTAACCTCTTCTTTCTTTTTTCAAACAACTTATCAATTCCTTTTATAAAATTTTTTATAATTTTCATCTTTACAGTCCTATTCCATCCCTTCATCATATCAACCCTTATTTTTGTACATATATAAGTTTTTCTTTCTTTAAAATTTTGGGAGGCACTTTCTTCTAACAGACCAAAATACACCCAAAATCTAGTGTGTGGCACTGATCTATGCACCAGCCTGATCATATTTGATCATATTCTGTTTTGTTTTTGTTTTGTTCTGTTTTTCTTTGTTTTTATCTTTATCTTTTTCTTTTTTTTTCTTTTTCTTTTTTCTCTCTTTCCCTTTCTTTTCCCCCTGCTTCAGGTCTTTTCTGATTTGTTTAGAGTATATTTTCTTGGGACGTTGTTACCCTGTTAGCATTTTGTTCTCTCATTCATCTATTCTCCTCTGGACAAAATGACAAGACGGAAAAAATCACCTCAACAAAAAGAACAAGAGGTAGTACCAACTGCCAGGGACCTACTCATTACAGACATTAGTATGATGTCAGATTTAGAGTTCAGAATCATCACTTTAAAGATACTAGCTGGGCTTGAAAAAAGCATGGAAGTTATTAGAGAAACCCTTTTTGGAGAAGTAAAAGAACTAAAAGCTAACCAAGTCGAAATCAAAAAGGCTATTAATGAGGTGCAATCAAATATGGGGGCACTAACTGCTAGGATAAATGAGGCAGAAGAGAGAATCAGTGATATAGAAGACAAAATGATGGAAAATAAAGAAGCTGAGGAAAAGAGAGATAAACAACTACTGGATCATGAGGGCAGAATTCGAGAAATAAACGAAACCATAAGACGAAACAACATTAGAATAATTGGGATCCCAGAAGAAGAAGAAAGAGAGAGAGGGGCAGAAGGTATATTGGAGCAAATTATAGCAGAGAATTCCCTAATTTGGGGAAAGAAACAGGCATCAAAATCCAGGAGGCACAGAGAACCCCTCTCAAAATCAATAAAAATAGGTCAACACCACCCTGACATCTAATAGTAAAACTTACGAGTCTCAGAGACAAAGAGAAAATCCTGAAAGCAGCTCGGGAGAAGAGATCTGTAACCTACAATGGTAGAAACATTAGATTGGCAACATACCTATCCACAGAGACCTGGCAGGCCAGAAAGGACTGGCAGGATATATTCAGAGCACTAAATGAGAAAAATATGCAGCCAAGAATACTATATCCAACTAGGCTGTCATTGAAAATAGAAGGAGAGATAAAAAGCTTCCAGGACAAACAAAAACTAAAGGAATTTGCAAACACGAAACCAGCCCTACAAGGAATATTGGAAGGGGTCCTCTAAGCAAAGAGAGAGCCTAAAAGCAACATAGACCAGAAAGGAACACAGGCAATATACAGTAACAGTTACCTTATAGGTAATACAATGGCACTAAATTCATATCTTTCAATAGTTACCCTGAATGTAAATGGGCTAAGTGCCCCAATCAAAAGACACAGGCTATCAGATTGGATTAAAAAACAAGACCCATCGATATGCTGTCTGCAAGAGACTCATTTGAGACCCAAAGACACCCCCAGATTGAAAGTGAGGGGGTGGAAAACCATTTACCATGCTAATGGACACCAAAAGAAAGCTGGGGTGGCAATCCTTATATCAGACAAATTAGACTTTAAACCAAAGACTGTAATAAGAGATGAGGAAGAACACTATATCCTACTTAAAGGGTCTATCCAACAAGATCTAACAATTGTAAATATCTATGCCCCTAACATGGGAGCAGCCAATTATATAAGGCAATTAATAACAAAAGCAAAGAAACACATTGACAACAATACAATAATAGTGGGGGACTTTAACACCCCCCTCACTGAAATGGACAGATCATCTAAGCAAAAGATCAACAAGGAAATAAAGACTTTAAATGACACACTGGACCAAATGGACTTCACAGACATATTCAGAACATTCCATCCCAAAGCAACGGAATACACATTCTTCTTTAGTGCCCATGGAACATTCTCCAGAATAGATCACATCCTAGGTCATAAATCAGGTCTCAACCGGTACCAAAAGATTGGGATCATTCCCTGCCTATTTTCAGATCACAGTGCTTTGAAACTAGAACTCAATCACAAAAGGAAAGTCTGAAAGAAATCAAATACATGGAGGCTAAAGAGCATTCTACTAAAGAATGAATGGGTCAAACAGGAAATTAAAGAAGAATTAAAAAAATTCATGGAAACCAATGAAAATGAAAACATAACTATTCAAAATCTTTGGGATGCAGCAAAGGCAGTCCTAAGAGGAAAGTATATAGCAATACAAGCCTTTCTCAAGAAACAAGAAAGGTCTCAAGTACACAACCTAA